TCTACCTTCTGTATATATAGGATTGACTATGCTGGACATTTCATATGCATGGAATCTCTGTGTCTGACTTCCTTTCCTTAGTATAAGAAAGTTCACCCATCTGTTAGTATACATCAGTACTTAATATCTTTTTATGGTTGATGAAGAAGAGATTAGGATTGTTAACAGTTATGAGCTTGGCTCAACAATCTACACTCTTGGCACCAGCAGTCAGGAAATCAAAAGACGAACTGAATTAGGTAAATCTGCTGTCAGGGACCTCTCCAGAGTACTAAGAAGCAATGATGTCAGTATAGAGACTAAGATGTGTCTGATCCAGGCCATGGTCTTTGCAATTACTATAATTATGCAATTATGTATAATTGCTATATGTAAGAGAACTGAACACTGACTAAGGATGACAGAACTGATGCCTTTGAGTTGTGGTGCTGGAGAAGAGTCTTGAACATACCATGGACTGCCAAGAAAACAAACAGGTCTGTCTCAGTGAAGATGAAAGCAACTTTCTCCTTGGAGGCTAGGATTTTGAAGCTTCATCTCACATACTGTGGGCATGTGGCCAGGAGGGACCGATCCTTGAAGAAGGACGTCATGCTTGGAAGGGTGGAGGGACAGCACAGGAGAGGAAGACTCCAGATGATTGCTACAGTAACGAGGGCAATGGGAATAAGTGTGTAGGAGTCAGTGGAACTGGCTCAGGAGAGGGCTGGCTTCAGAGCTGTTGTCATATGGTCGCTATGAGTCGCAGGCAACATGATGGCACATAACAACAATAATATTCACTATTTCAGCTACTATGAAAAAAAAGCACATTTACGAACATTTGTACACCATACAAATGTATGACCATATGTTGTTAATTCCTTTGGAATTATATTGAAGGATGGAAATTTTAGGCCTCCTGGCAACTATTTAACTTTGCTAGCGTCAGTTTTCTAAAGTTGCATTATTTTACGTTCCCACCAGCGATGTAAGTGGGTTTCAAGTGCCTCATATCTTCAATAACATTTTAAGTTGTCTTTTTCATTACAGCCATCCTAATATGAAGTGAGATGTCCTTGTGGTTTTGGTTTGCATTTCTCTAATGGCTAATAACATTGAGCATCTTTTCATGTGCTTACTGGGCACTGGTATACCTTCTTTGGAGAAATGGTTATTAAAATCCTTTGCCCACTTAAAAAATTGGGTTGCTTTTGTTGAGCTATTAAGTCTTTATATATTATGGGTTATCAGATCTTTATCAGATATAATGATTAAAAAATGTTTTCTTCCATTCTGTGGAAGAAATCTTTTTGATCTACAGATTCCTCAGCATAAAACAAGTTCTAATGAATTAGCACCTCTAAATTAAAATAGAAGTTTTCAGGTGATTCTACTGACTTGCCAGATTTGGGTATCAATGATCCAGGCCAGTGTTTGTAAAGCTTTAGTGTGCATAGGAGAAATATTCTTGAATGATTACCAGGGCTGGAAAGGGAGGGAGAAGAGTGTAAAAATCAATAAAAAGAAACTTTTGCCTAGACCAAGAAGCTGTTGTTTAAACAGAGCAATGGAACACTGCATGGTTTAAAACTGGGAAAGGTATGTGTGAAGGCTGTATCCTTTCTCCATACATGTTCAATGTATATGCTGAGAAAATTATCTGGGAAATGGATTTTATGAAGAACAGTGTAGCATTAGGATTCCAGGAAGTCTCATGCAGATAAGGTAGCCTTGCTTGCTAAGAGTGAGGAGGACTTGCGGTGTGGACTGCAGAGGATCAAATCAGAAACTGCAGTCTTCAACATGGATTACAGCTCAACATCAAGAAAACAATTTCTTACCACTGGGCCAATAGGCAACATCATGACAGATGGAGAAACTATTCAATTTGTCCACAATTTCATGCTGCTTGGATCCACAATCAACACCTTGGTGCTAGCAGTCATAAGATCAGTAAACAAATAACGTTGGCAAAGTCTGCTGCCAGGGAGCACTGACATCAGTTTAAGGACTAAGATGTGACAGATTCAAGCCCTAGTTTTCCAAAACACCTGGTATCCATCTGAGAGCTGGACAATGTAAAAGGATGACAGAAGAACTGATGCCTTTGAGTTGTGATGTTGTAGAAAAGTGCTGAATATCCCATGGCCTTTCAAAAGTACAAAGAGATATGTCTTGGGGAAAGTGAAGCCAGAGTGCTCACATACTATGGGCATATTATTAGGAGAGGCTATTCCTTAGAGAAGGGCATCATACTTGGAAAGGTGGAGGCTCAGTGAAAGAAAGGAAGACCCTAAATCAGATGAGAATGATTCAGTGTTCGCAGCAATGTGCTCAAGTGTGAAAGGGGTGATAAGGGTTCAGATCTATTGTTCACAGGGTCCCTGGAATCTTACTACACTTGACAACACTTAACAATGTTTAACACTTAACAACATTAAGTAGGGTAGAGGGAAATGTAGTATTTAATGAGAGAATGATCAGTACAATATTACTGAAGAAAGCAAGGCATAAAGGTATAGGAAGATTAATGGAAATCAGAATTACAGTGGGAAGTGTGGCTACTGAAATGAATCTTCCTGAACAAAAGGTATATGAATGATTGAATTAATTTCCTTTATAAACCTTTATTCAAGTAAAACTAAAAAATTAAAAAATTTGCAAAACACTGCACAACATGGATGAGTTTGAGGACAGTATAATGAGTGACATAAGCCAGTCATAAAGGGACAACTACTGTGATAAGAAGTAAAGAAAAGGGGGCAAAAGGAGAGTAGAAAATTAACGGATAGACAATGAACACTTCTTCTGAATGGATGAAGGATAGGGCAATTAGGAATGAATGGATGATCTGACATAATGTATACTGTAATTAGCATTATATAATAAAATATACATGACTGACTGTTTGAGGAAAAGAAAAACAAATTAAACCCCACAATATGCTTTGTAAACTTTCATACAAATCACAATAAAATATTTTAAAATGTTTTTTTAAAAACCCCACATTTGTGTGCATACATCGTCTCAAGATCTTTATAAAATATAGCTTGGGAGAAACAAGAAATCAATATTAGAACATCATAGAAATAACTGTTGTAATCATGATTCATTGATGTACACTAAAATGTGTGGGCAAACTTGAAGGGAAATATAATTATTGACTATCATTAATGTAATTTCCCCTCTCAAATGCTTATTAACTGCTAAAGCAGTATCTTTATAATGGAGAAATCTAGCAGATTTAACCAAAGTGACCAAGGTCACCACAATCAGCAATAAAACCTACTGGTGCCACGTGCCCCTATACTATGTGCCAAGAAAGTACATCATTTCTGTGATTTGTTGCTGCTACTGTTAGCTGCCGTACAATTATCTTCTAAAACTGATAACCTCAATCTAATCATGACAAAGTATCAGACAAGCCCCAAATTCCCGGTAAGTACTTTTGCAGAGTGCCAAGGTCATGAAAGATACACAAAACTGAGAGACTGCCCCAGATTAGAGGAGACCTGGCACCATGACAGCTAAATCTAATTTGGTAATAAGGATATTAGTGGAAACCAGGTAAAATCCAAAATCTGTCTGTAGTTCAGTTACTAACTGCTTAGTTTTGATAACTGTTAAGTTACTGGGTTAAGTAATATGTTAACACTGGGAAAAGCTGTGTGTAAAGGATATATGGGAATTTGATGTACTATTTTTGAACTCTTCTTTAAGTCTACAGTCATTTAAAAATAGAAAGGTAGTTGTTTGTTTGGGTTTTTTTTCCTTCTTAAATAGACTGATACTGTAGGTCTATGTGGGATCCTGAGATTCTATCAAGTTCCCAGGACAGGCTTGATGCTGCTAGTTCACAAATTCTTTTCTTGAGTGGCAAGGGCCTAGCCCTATCTGGTTCTCAAACTCAATCCTGGACCAGAATCCCCCAAGGCCTTGTTAAAATTGACTGCTGGGCCCCACCTCCTGAGGTCTGACTCAATAGATCTTGGGTGAGGCCTCAGTATTTACATTTCTAACAAATTCCCAGATGATGCCAATGATGCTAAGGAGCTAAGAATGTTCTTTTACATTTTAAAACATTATAAAAATAAGAATCTGAAACTGAGACAGGATGGGGCCTGCAAAGCCTAAAATAATTACAGAAAATGTTTTCAACCCCTGTACCTTTGCTTCTCAGAATGAAGTTTTTTAAAAAAAATCACCTCCAAAGATTTTTATTTAAATGATCTGGCATAGGTTCTCGGTGTCTGTATTTTAAAATTCTGACGTGTAGGATTAAGAACAACTGATTTAGAGACCACCCACTTACCTGAGAAAAGAACCTCAGTTATCCAGAGTTAGACATTAGTCCCAAACAAACTTGAAAGTGTACTTTGTGTAATTTAAAACTCATTTTTAGAAATAAAATGCCATCCAAATCCAAGCACAAGTTAATATTTCCTCCCATAACTCATCTCCTCTGAAGGGAAAATTGAGGAAAAATAGATTATGTTTCAATAAAAATCACAAAAGGCCCTTTAAAAAAAGGAACAAGTATAATTGTGCAACTTTCTAAGGAAGTTCTCAAACAGATGGGCCACAACAGTCAAGGGATGAACCTGCAAAGGGTTCAAGGTGCCATGTCCACTGTGCTGAGAGGTGACACAACAGAGCACGAGAAAGCTAAGGTAAGAGGGAAAGTTGCGGAACAAAGGAAGGGACATGGACTTGAGGTACCTGGGGGGGGGGAAAATAACCCACAAAGAAACTTTTGTTTCATTACAGTACCAACATTTTCTTGGCTCCCCATTTAAACATAATTAGGGAGTCCCTCAACCATTTGACCAGTCTCTTCATTCTCTTTTCTGTACATTTGTTCTGAAGGCACCATTTTTACTCTTACTCTCTGCTTATTACTCCTCTCCTAAAGAGGAAAGCTTAGTGACAGCCTGTTGAAGGAATCTTGAGTCAACCTCTAAGCCTGCTCCAGGAAGCATCTCCCTAATTCTGAGAAGGGTCTGTGTTTGCTCTCATACCTGTGCTCTCCTCAGCCTGGTTGAAGCCACAAATCTGACAGATGCTCTGGACCCACTTATTCATGTCCTCTTCCGTCTCAGCCACCAGGTAAAAAGTACGCTCACTGGTCTTGATGTCAAACACAAAACTATCTTGCAGCTCCTTCTTGTTGAAGGTGAGGCCTGCATCCACCTGCTCACAGAAGTTTAGATTGATGATCCGCAGGGGCTTCTTGGAGTGATCATTCTTGTAGTATTCCAGAACATCTGGGTCACCACTCATCCGTCCACTCCGCAGGATAAACCAGCGTTTCTTCCAGGCCTAAATCCCAGCAGGAAAGAAAAAGAAGAGGGGGGGAAAATGATTCTTGGGTATTTTTTAAAGCTTACAACAGATCCTTTGAAATCACTAGGTTGAATATGGGGCCACTAGGTTGAATATGGGGCCTATAACTCCCTTCCATGTTTCTTTACAGCTTAAAAAAATGGAGGATGATTTTAAAGTGCAGCATTGAAAAAAAAAAAGACAGAGGTATGATAATTAGAAAGTCAACATGGCTAGGTCATGATTCTCTGCACTAAGTAATTATCTTCCATTTTGTAATCATACACACACACACACACACACACACACACAGAGACACATATATTATAAACACAGAGAGAGAGTGAGTTTCCAAATGTTCTGGAAATGCTCTCTCTTGATCCTACATCAGACTCATCGTCCTCATCTGACCTCCTGTTCTTGGGACATGACCTAGAATCCTGTTACCTGACCTTCAGATTAAGAAATGGGCTAGCTTCTGAAGTCCCATGAGCCAGCAGCCTGCTGCCTGGCTTGATTTATTTTAGTTCACTGGCCCCTGCCAGGAAAATCCTCCAACCTGATGCATGATCCACAGATTTGAGACTTGCAAATGTCCGTAACGAAAGAAGTTATTTCCTTACTCTTTCCTTCTTCCTCATTTTATTCCTCTTGAGATCACAGCCCAAGACACTAGCATCTCTACTTTTTATATCAAGAGTTAGATAAGAAACACTTTATAGCATCTACTCTATTGGTCAGAATATAGACTCAAGCACACAGAACTTTTAGGCAGGGTGGAACAGGCAAAAAGAAAACATCTCTTCTGCTTACAAATGGGGACCCACTAAGACACAGTGTGTTGAAGCAATAATGTTACGCAGAAGAAAACAAGTGGTCTGATTTTTGGTATAATGGCCTTTAAATCAAACCAAGATATCACAGAAAAATAATGGAGGAAAAACTTTGAACACTTGTAATATTACCTTGTACATATTAAAAGTTCAATATATAATACTGAATGAATAAACTTATATTATCCCACACTACAGAATTTAATATTTTATTCAACATTTTCTTATAGTTTATATTCTATCTGCAAAAGGCTGAGTAGTCCATGAGCAGATATCACACAAAGCGGGATAATATACTGCTTATCTACCCTGGAAACTCTATGAACTTTGAAAAATTACAATAGTTATAGAAAGGCTTCAGGTATGTTGTTCATAGGGTTGCTATGAGTTGTGTTCACCTCGATGGCAATCAACAACAACAATATATATGTAAAAGAAACCACTGCCATTAAGTCTCATAATGACTATCCACTGGGTTACCAAAGCTATAGATTTTACAAGAAGAGATTGCTCAACTTTTGCCAGCAGAGCACTTGGTTGATTCAAACAGCTGACCTTTCAGTTAGCATTCTTATATGTTACCAATTGTCCAAGGTTCCTTTACTTTGCTATTGATTTGCTATGTGATTTTAGATTAAGTAATTTAGCATTTTAGATCTTGCCTGATCTGTATAAAATAGAATTCTGGTCCAGAGTCTATAGCATGTTGTGTTGCTTAACCTAAAGGCTGCACATCTCCGGTGGGTAAAATCCAGCTGGGAAACAGCACCTTGGAGGAAAGATGGACAGTCTCCTCCCAATAAGATTTACAGCCTTGGGAAACTGACGGAGGGCCACTAGGGGCTAGAAAGCTGTAAGTCAGACATGGACCAGATGGCAGTGACTTTTGACTACCACCTGCTCTAGCTTAATTAACAGAAGTTTATTATTCAAATGACACAAAGCAGTGCAATGATTAAGGATTTGATTATCATCATCATATTCTTAACCACACCAGAAGCTACACTCAGTTGACCCTACCATCTTTCACACTCATGTTCCACCTTCAGTTCAGTTCACAACTCCCATCATTACAATCATTCCCTTGTTCCTCTCTTCATCACTCTTACTTATAGAGCAAACCACAATCCCATGCTAGGTTCAATCTCACCATTCCGATGCAGGTATACCTAGCTGGGAAAAAACCATATAAACTGTGCTCATCCACCTCACATTAAATTCAAGTGGATCCTCAATCTGCTTAACAATACCACTATATTTTCCTAGTACACTTATCTTTATTATATTATGTAAAAGTTTCCATGAATAATTAATCATCATCATCATCATCATCATCATCATCTGTGGTGTTTACAGGTGCTGTAGAATCCGTTCTGATACATAGTGACTCTGGACAACACAATTAAATACTGCCTGGCTCTAAGCATCATTATAATGGTAGTTGTCTCAGCCCATTGAGGCAGCCATTGCGTTAAATCCCTCTCCCTGCAGCCATTGTGTTAAATCCCTCTCCCTGAAGATATTCTTCTCTTTCTCTGACTCATTACTTTATCAAGCACGATGTCCCTCTCCAGGGACTGATCCCTCCTGATGACATGCCTGAGGTACATGAGATGGAGTCTCACCATAGTTGCTAGGAGAACCATGGCTTCACTTCTAAGATTTGTCTGTCCATCTGGAAGTGGATGGTATATTTAATATTGTTCACCAACACCATGATTCAAAGGTATCAGTTCGTCTTTGGTCTTCATAAAGTTCTGTAACATCATATCATTTGACAGGCATTTTCTGATCTCCCAATCCTCACGTTCTTTTTCCACCACTCTTTCACTTTACTGGTCTTATTAGCACTTACACCACCCAAGACAGGTCAGGGGCTGAAAACTGTTATTCCATGTTGCATCCACAATACTTGGAACAGTGTACGGAATATAGGAAGTGCACAACAGAAATATATTGGATTAATTTTTTTTTTACACAAACTCCTTACTACGAAGGGAGTATGTTGTTGTTGTGTGCTGTTGAGTTGGAATCACTGCATAGCTGAACCTCCAAAAGGTTTTCAGAGGCAGTAAATCCCATGGAAGGAGACTGCCTATCTTCTCAGGGAGCATCTGGTGGATTTGAACCACATGCCTTTGGGATTGCAGCACAGCTTCGTACAAGGCCATCAGACCTCACTGAATGGAGTATAACTGGTACTTAATAAACCTTACACTGGAATGAAGGTTAAAGCAGTACAAGGGTAACAACAACAAAAAACCCACTATTAAGTCACCTAAACTGTTTTCTGTTGTTGTTAACTGCTGTTGACTAGAGTACAACACATAGTGAACCTATGAACAACAGATCTGAATACTGTCTTATCCTGTGCCTCCTCATCTTCTCTGACACACCTGAGCGTATTGCTGCAGTCACTGTGTCAATCCATCTGACCAAGGGTCACCTTTTTCACTGACCCTCCATCTTTCCAAGCATGGTGTCTCTTTCTAAGAAGCAGCCTCTCCTAGCAGTATGTCCACATTATGTAAGCGTTTCCATTCTTGCCTCCAAGGAGTATTATGGCTGCATTCTCCCCAAGACTTATCTGTTCTATTGGCAGTCTATGGGATATTATCTTCTCCAATACCACAGTTCAAAGGCATCAACTCTTCTTCTGTCATCCTTATTCACCAACCAGATACCAGATGCATAGCAAGTAACTAAAAAGACCATGGCCAGAATACTCAGTGGCCCATATCATGGCTTTAGTCCCCAAACTGATAGCATAGCTGTTCAGTAATCGGGAGGGGTCCCTGACTGCAGACTTTCCTGGTGTATCCTGATCTCCTGACTGCTGATACCAAAGGTGTGAATTATGAATCTACATAAGATGAAACTGTTGACAACGTCTATCTTTTTTTCTTTCTCCATCTATCATGATGTTGCTCATGGTTCCAGTGGTGAGGATTTTTGTCTTCTTAATGTTGTGATGCAGTCCATATTGAAAGCTGCAGTCTTCAATCATCTGTAAATTTATCTAGGCTACAGCATAGAGGACTTCTTCCTTCATTACCATGGGCTCATATGTTGTTTCATGACAGTCTTCTGTGTCAGCCAATCCCTTTTGGTACAGTGACTATGTATGTATATACCTTCTATCTTCTTTTAATGCTTCCTCGATCATTTGATATTCTGCCAAGCACACTGCAACTTGAGGCTTGAATTTGTTCTTCTGTTCCTTCAGCTTAGGAAATACTGAGCGAGTTTGGCCCTTTTGATTTTCTCACTCTAGCTCTTTGCACATTTCATTTTAATACTTTGTCTTCCCATGCTGCCCTTCGAAATCTTCTGTTCAGCTCCATAATTTCTTAATTTCTTCCCTTTGCTTTGGCTTCTCACAACTCTAGCGCAATATTCAGCGTCTTGTCTGACATTCATCTTAGTCTTTTCTTCCTCCTCTGTCTTTGCAGTCACCTTTTGTATTCTTTATGGATGATATTCTTGATATCCTAGTGTTCAAGGTCTCAAATCTGTTCCCGATAGGTTTTTTTTTAATAAATTTTATTTTATTTTTTATTATTTGTGTGTCTGTGTACTGTCAAATCAGATTTGACTGGTACAGGAGGAGATTGTTCCTCCTTCTCCAGCAAAGCATCTGGTGGATTTGAACCACTCACCTCTCAGATTGCAGAGCAGCTTCTTGCCACTAGGCCACCTGATATGGTTTTGGAATTCGAATGGGATAGACTCAAGGTTAAATTTTGGTTCCTGAGGATTTAATTTTCTTTAGTTTCAGCTTGAACTTGTATATGAGTAGTTGGTGGTCTGTTCCACAATCAGCACCAGGCCTAGTTTTCACAGCTGGTACTGAACTTCTTTTCTTTTTTAAAATATGGAATGCTTCACGAATTTGTGTGTCATCCTTGCGCAGGGGCCATGCTGATCTTCTCTGTATTGTTTTACTTTTAGTATATGTGCTGCCGAAATGAGCACTGGTATTGAGCTTCTCAAGCGAATCTTTCCACAGATATAACCGCAGGGTAAAATGCATGTGTATAGCCTGTGTTTATATTTCTTATAGCAAGTATTTGCAATGAATAAATTATTGAGCAACAATGTCAGTCTGGAGACTAAGGTGTGCCTGGTCCAGGCCATAGTCTTTGTAACTACTTGCTA